AACAAAACTTAACTGAACCACACTACCAGCTTCACAATTGATGTTCAGCTATGACTTAAAACATCACTGTTCAACTGAGTTCTCAGCCCTGGCTGCTATCATCACTGGGGGAAGCTGAAAAATGCTGATGCCTTTATGCTAAGTGAAATAAGTCAGACAGAAAAAGACAAATACTGCATAATTTCACTTACATGTGGAACTTAAAAAAGCTAAACTCATAGAAATAGAGCAGACTGGTGTTTGGGGGAGGGGAAATGAAGGTGGTCAAAGGGTATAAACTTCCAATTATAAGACAGTAAGTTCTACGGATGTAATTCACAGCATGGTGATAGTTAACAGTATTTACTGTATTGTATATCTGAAAGTTGCTATGAGAGCAGAACTTACAAGTTCTCAATACACAAACTATAACTACATGAAGTGATGGGTGTATTAAATGACCTTGCTGTGGTAGTCATTTCACAACATAAACATTTATCAAATATTCATGTTATATACTTAAACTTACATAATGTTATATATGTTGAGTATATTGCAAAAAAGCTGGGGGGAAAATGCTGACACCTGGGTCAGACCCTGAGATTCTGATTTAACTGGTCTAGAGTAGGGCCCGGGCATCCTGTTTTTAGTGCTCCTCAAGTGATTCTAATATATAGCCAGATTGAAAACCATGTGGATTTTACCTACCTCATTTGCATTTACTAAGATGAAAATAGGCAGTTACCATCTGATTATTCCATCTCAGTGTTTTGATACCAATGTATTTAGTGAGTCTCCTAAACAGTTACTAAAATCAACCAGATTATAAAAGGCTTAAAGTGGGAACATGGGACTTTTAGCCACTTCATATTCAATCTAGGAAAAAGGTCATGGTATTCCCAGTGTGGGTTTGTGGTCTTATCTTCTACCACAAGTCCCCACTGCTTAAATTAGTATTAAATTTTTTCTAAGTAATACAATTCCCAACAGGCTAAGAACCCTCACAAATCATAAAAACAAATGTGGCAGGAGCAAAACATGCAAAGAATATGAACTGTTTATCAAAAGAATACAAATGGCCAAACATGATTTTTCAATTTCACTAGTGATCAAAGTAATGCAAAGCAACTTGTAAAAAACACTCAATAGCAAGAAAGTAATGCAAAAAATACTTAAGCTCCTAGATGGAATAAACAATATATTCTTAAAAAGCAGTTTGGCAGTATGTGTCAAGACCCTTAAAGTGTTCATATCCTTTTTAATAACAGCAAAAGCTAAAAACAGACCAAAGAACCAATGTTAGGGAAGTTCTCCTAGTTAACTAAATAATTTTTAAAATACATTTTAAAGAGAATATTGTTTTGGTTAAATGTTCAAAATGCAATTAAGAGGGAAAGCAAAATAGAAGTACATAAACATAATATGATAAATTCTGTTATATATCATGGAAGGCAACATATTCAATGTTAACAAAAGAAGGATTATGAATGATTTTAATATTCTATTTCATGTTTTTCTATTTTCAAAATTTCTACAAGGGATTTACTACTTCAAAATTTTTATTTTTAAATTTCCAAGCAAGAGTTAATTCATCAAGCCTAACTCTTTACCTCAAAAAAACTGTGAGGTAAGATGATAGATTATCATGATGTATCTCAGTGCATAAATGCTTATGATGAATAAAAGATGGTGAGAACCTGGCTACAGTTTGAGAATTCAGGTGATTTCAGACAGCTGTCCTTAACAGCTTCCCTGACATTCTCCAAAACAGACCAATTAGATTTTCTAAATGCAAACCAGCCAAGACAATTGAACCTTATCTACCAAGGTGAGTACATTTTTTGGACCTCCGTCTGAGTAGGCATTTATGTGGTGACTACTTAACCACACAAAAGCAGGTCACATTAGCCAAGACAAGGTGAAGTGACCCTAAGGTTTTAGTGTAGGGTAAATATTTAAGAAAAACAACAGTTACTGAAAAAACTTTTCCCCACTACCCCTGTACACTGATGCACGTAAGTTAGTCTGTTCAGAGAATTTCTTGACCTGAATGAAGTTTGATGTCCATTATTCATATTCACTAAAATCAAAATTTCCTGCAAGAGCAGACTTTACAAAATCCAGTCGCAACTTAAAGTGATTTTACACGGAGAAAACTCCACCCACAAGAAAAAAAATGTTCTGCTCGTAAAACTGCCAAGTGATTAACAGTATAAAAAGGTCATCTATAAAAATAAATGAGACATTTGATAAAAGCCTTGAACACTAAAGACCACCACATACAGAGTATTTTTATATTAATATTCACTACAAGATACTCTGTTTCTGTTCCAAATCCCCCAAGGAAAAGAACTGCCAGAATTATCTTGGTATGGTATCTCCAAAGAGATTCCTAAAACAGTAATATTTTTTCAAAAACTTTAAGAAAATGATCTAGTGTGCACACTAAGCTGCCTGCTAATTAACTATGAACTAAAGAAAAGTTTTTATAAACACCTGTTGCCTAGATATCAAACTCAATTAAATATTATCATGCATTAATAAGCCTGCATCATTACTTATTTTCACTCTTTTTTAAAAAATCACATTAATTGTTTATTATTTGGCATAAAAGAATATTTAGCATAATTCTTTCAACATTTAAGCTGCTGCCAAACAAAAGTTTCTAAATAATTTCCTGAATTATTAAATTATTGTAATTACCTTGATGAAAGATTATAGCAAGAAGCTCAGTTTTTACTTTTCCTCTTGGTTTCCATTCTGTGTCAACAGCTGGATTCAAATTTCAACATCCAAGAGATCCTATTAGGCACATCCAGTTTAAGGTTCACCTGAATGTCCACGTTGTTGCACTCAGGTCAGTTCCTAATTTGTCCTAGCTGAACAATTTATACAACTTTCTACCGCCCTTGCTATGAGGTTCAGTGTATCCCTTCTCCACAGTCATGTGACTCAGGAAACTGAGGTATAAATTTTTATATCAAAAAATGCACAATGTCACAATTTTTCTGGGGTAACAATATGGACAATTGAAATGAACTTCCTGATATTTAAAGGTAGGCTGTCCCATCTTCACTGCTTTACATAATTCTAGGAAAGACCACTCTTATCTGTGTTATGTGAACAGCACCTCCTGAAACGGCAGGGCACAGCCTAGGTAGTCATAGATAGCAACCCTGCACCTCACCTACCATCTGATTCTCCATGATTACCTTACAAAACTTTACTTATTTTCAAAAAAGCCACAACTTACTAAATAGTGTGAACAACAGAAACTAAATTATAGATCCAAATAATTTACTTTGAGGTTTTTGTTAGTATACAATTCAGAATAGACAAGAAACAAATCAATGGTATTTTAGTTTTAAAAACTGGTCAAGATAGTCAAATAGCAAAGAGATTTGAAAAATATGAACAAAGCACACCTAACCTGTATAAGCCAAACAGGCAGAGTGCCCATGAAGGTATTTCTCATGCCACCTCTACAATGGAGTCTATCATCATAGAGAATTTTGTTCACCCACCTTCTTCTCTCTTCACATAAAAAGGCAAAGTATTGAGGTGGTTACATAGAAATGTGTTTAGTGAGCGAAATTAAGCACTGTATCAAGAGATGCATAATGATGTTGATTAATAGATTAGAACAGAACATAATGCATGAACAATTTTTACAAGTATTAAAAACTTTCTTAAAAATATTAAATGCAAAACTGAAATATACCTAGAACCTGCCTAAAACAAACTCAAAGCCTGCTTCTCTCATGCATAAGAGAGAATACCTTCCCCATTAATTTTAACACAAGGAACTACCATAGTAATTCAGTAGATATTGAAACAGTAAGCATTCTAATGACTGTAAAACTCTATTTAACATACCATATGGGTGAGATTTTTATTATAATTTAAAGAGCTATAAAGTGCTTTAAAACTAATCATTCTTGTTACTGAGTTTATAAGTTTGGTCAGCTACAGGTTTAATTAACCAATATTCTGTTTTTCAAATATTCTTTGTATGTAAACAGTATGTTGTCTTCATGTGTGGAAACAAAAAAAAACTTTCAGTAAACTAGAAGGAATAACAGTGTCACCCATAAAACCTTGAAAACCAAAACCTCCCCTTTTGACATAGTAATAAACAATGTTGTTGTGATCTGTTAAGCGCCATGTAGTTTACATAATGTTCCTAATCATAAGTCTCCTCAATAATGAGATTTCACCAATTAAGAAGCATTCAGACCTCATCTTTCTTTCACTATGAAATCTCAAAACTGCCTTTGTAGTACACAGTACCAGATGTGATAATATGGAAAAAGCAGGTACGTCAAACGTGTAATAAATTAGACCCTTATACAAGTGAGAGCTGAACAAGCAGATTTCTATCAATCAAACTTTTTAAAGATTTAGGGAGTAAGGGGGAAATTTTTCAAAAAAAACCCACACATTATTTTCAATGCGAGTGACAACTCAGAATAGAAAAATGTGCAAAAAGGATAACTAGCTTATCATGCACTGAATAAGAAAAAAACACATCAACTACTATTTTAGGAGAACTAGTTATAGAAATCTTTAAGGAAAGATAGGACACGTTATTTCAGACACCGTAAGTTCAAGTGCAGTGGCTATATAATAAAGCAAGGTGCCTATTCCTGAGGATAATGTACTTAGTAATAATGCTGAGCAGTGATTATTAAATCTAAACAGTGCTAGAAAGGCAATAATGGGAGTTCAGGTAACGTGTTACAGAGAGAGAGAGAGACGTGAGAAATTCCATTACTTAAAAATAATCTTGTCCCTATCATTAACCATTTAAATGTTTTCTTTTTTGCTAATGTGCTAAAGTGCACTGGAAACCTCACAACAGGTTTTTTGAATTGGCCACGTCTTGTAATACACTGCAGTCTTCAAATTTACACAGAGCTGCAGGTCTCCTGGATTTTTTCAAGTGTCACTCATCTAACTGAGCCTGACAGCTGAGAAATGCCATCAGGTGCTCTACAGTCAGTTTAAAAAACATCCTCTACCTGGTATCTCTGCAGTGATTGTCTTGCTGCTCCCTGAAACCTCTTCATCATCATCGGATGAGCTCGTGCTTGAGTCACAAGTCAGGTCACTATCACTGGTACTACTGTCCTGCAACAGGTTATATTTCTTACGCGCAGCAGCCTCCCGTTTCTGCCTCAGTAGCCTGATTCTCTCCTTGTGCTTTTGGCTCCGGTGACCTTTAACCTTGGCGACTCGGCCATTCTGTTTATCGCTGGATTGCCGATTTTTCTTGGCAGCCATAGTAGATGTTTCACTTTCAGATCGAGACCGCCGAGACTTTCGCCCAACTGTGGCACCAGATACTCCGGAAGGGTCTCCTTCTACAGTTGTTTCTGTCTGGGAGGGTTCATTCTCTTCTGCAGAAGACAATGTATCTGAATCAGCCAGGTGACCACTAGAGGAAGGGGAAAGCATGCAGTGATTAGAGGAGTCACTCTCATAAACTCGGCCAGCTGTCGGCTTGTCACTCTCTGTGGATGCTAACTGAGACTCAGAAGAGTCCCTTCTCAGCTCCATCAACAAGCAGGGCATTGAAGATAGAACTGCAGCATCCACTACACCATCTTTTTGAACTTGAGATTCCAGTTCTACAGATCCATCTTCCTCCTTAGCTGTCTCTTGTTTGGATGTTTTTGGTGGGACTTCGGACTCAATGAGGTCTTCGACTTTTCCCACTGCCTCCTCCATCTTCATTTCAGATGTTTGAGTTAATCATGGAGCAGAGTCTACGAAACTATGTCAAAGATGCAACAGGAAAGCAACCTGGACAAAAACACATAAAATCAATAAACAGAAATGGCAAATTACTTAATTAACACAACATGCCTTACCTTTCAAAGTGGCTAGCAAAAATTATTATATGAGCCTTTGAAATAGATGTATCTTCACATACTCATCAAGAGTCAAACTCAAAGAACTTAGTACTATCCAAATACTAGCACACACAGCTACCAAAAATGGCACAATATTAATCCTCTATTCCTGAACTTGTAAGGCCAGCAAGCAACCAAACAAGGATTTGCAACTTTAAAACTTAATTTTGTGTTTACAAAAGGGATCCTCAAAATTCTGACATAGTTACTACGTACAATTTGACTTAATATAAATGAGAAAGAATGCTTAAAAACTAATCTAGAAAACAAATTAACTGAAATGATTACTTCTGCATTCAAATCATCGAAGAAAGGCAAGAGAGGAATTACAGTGGAATAGCATCAAACATACACTTATGTTTAAAGAAAAATCTTCAACTAGTTGCATTTGGCAAATGCACAACCAAAGTAATTATATACATCAAACCTGTCTGCCATTCCTCTCAACAGGAATTGCTCCAGAAGACATTAGGATGAAAGGCCTGACTCTGCTGTTTTCCTCAGTAGTCATAATTCCCAAAGACCTCTCATTATGCTGAATGAGTCTAGTGTTTAAGCATGTTTTATTTCATAAACAATACCCACTAATACGAATCAACTACTTTGTAAACCCAGAAAACCTAGTGCACTCTATTCCAAGAATGAGTTAAGGGGTTTAAGAGAAAACACCCTACACACATCTTCCACCTTATATGCTAACTTTAGAACCTAACACCCCTAGCCCACTGTGTGTGCCACAATTCCATTTAAATGTGAAGAAACAGGACAAAATCTTTAACCCCAAGAGCTGTGACCTACAGAGTGCAAACTTCATTAACTGATAGTTTTTAAGAGGATACTAAGAATGTGCAAAGCAAGTAAACACCTCATCCTGTATATGTGATGTTAAAGAAGGCAATTATCATCATGTCCCATAGGTCACACACCCATAAATATTAAGCTAGATGGTATGCTACTCAAGTGAAATAAGATGTCTCCATCACTTCACTCCAAATTAATTGATAGTTAAATATATGGTAGGCAGCAAGTAGAAAATACCTGGAAAATCTTTTTATTAATCTAACATGCCAAGCCTACTTTTTGCTTAGTATCGACACAAATTTTCTATATACTTGTTTTTTGCTTTTCATGGCCCTCTTCTCAGCTGCTGATAAAACAGACATTTGAATGAAGTTTCCTTAACACATTCATGAAAAATAAAACATTCATAGCCACTAGAAACATTTATTAATTTTAAACAATACCACCCTGACCCATATGGCTGGCTCAGCTGGGCATCATCCCACACAGTGAAAGGTCATTGGTTCAGTCCCCAGTCAGGACACATGCAAGAGGCAACTGAGATGTTTTTTCCTCTCTCTCTTTCTCCCTCCCTTCACCTCTCTCTAAAAATAAATAAATAAATTTAAAAACAAATAAGTAAAACAATCCCTTGTGTAGCCTATTTCATAAATATATCTGCACCATTGCTAATTTTAAATTAAGTGAAAATACGCATAAATGTTATTCCTAACGCCATTACAAAACGAATGTTACATCACTGAAAGCCAACAGAGGGAGTAAAGGTTAAACCAACAAACTGCCAGTGTGACAAATAAAGCATGCTGGCAACACAAACAGGAAATAAAATATATGCAGACATGAAATACCCCTGGGTATGACAAATAAACCAAGATCTTCTAACTAAATCAAAATGAGAGTTGACTCTTCTGTGGAGAATGAAGTTATGTATTCCAGAATAAAGCTTTTTCTTAGAGGTGAAATATCTGAGAAATATATTCATATGAAATTAATGTCAGTCATAAAGCATAAGAGTCAAAAGCCTCAAATGAACTTTTAAAAGAAGAGGGCACTGGACCTTTTTAAACTACATAATACAACATCAGGTTGAAAAGCAAATTTATTAAAATGACCATAAAATTTTTGTTTCTTCTGTAAATAAATTGTGTAGGTAACATAAGTAAGTCTAGTCTATTTTTCCTTTTAGGTAAATATGATATCAATGTCTTTCAAGTACATACCAATAAAATAATTACCTTTCATTCCCAGTTTTTTTAATCTAAGTATTTATATAAAGATTTATAATGACTTTTGCTGCCTAAAAAAACCCCAGTATTTCAGTCAAAACCACTTAAATATGTCCAAATCAATCATAAACACTGGCACCGAACATTAAGAGAACATAAATAATCAGTTATTATAGTATGTCTTTACAATGTGGACACAAAGAATGAAAAGATTCTTTATGTACTAATATGGAACAATTTTAAATATATAATGTTAAATGAATAAAAAAGGTACATTATAGCATTTATGCAAATAAAGAACAAAATTATATGTAAGAGTGCCTGTGGATGCACAGATTCTCTGAGAGGATACTTAAAAAAAATGGTAACACCAGCTGCTTTGGCAACAAAAGAGAGTAAATGAGGAACCAGGAATTAAAGACTTCTTACTGTATGTAGTTCTGTACCTCTTGACTTTTGTATCACATACAAGTATTCTCTATACAAAAATCCACTCTAATATAACAGTCTAATGAAAAGTCTTCTTGCCCTGGCTGGTGTAGCTCAGTGGATTGAGCGCGGGCTGCAAACCAAAGTGTTGCAGGTTCGATTCCCAGTCAGGGTACATGCCTGGGTTGCAGGCCATGACCCTCAGCAACTGCACATTGATGTTTCTCTATCTCCCTCCCTTCCCTCTCTAAAAAATAAATAAATAAATAGATAGATAGATAAATAGAATTGCATATGCATTAGAAGAGAAATGCATTAAAAAAAAAGGTCTTCTGAAGAAAAAGGAGTTATGTTTCTGCTCATGACACCAACTACTATTTAAGTCAAATTTGGTCAATGAATTCTACTAGAATTTCCCCATATAGAGGGATTTTGTTATAATTCATAAAACACAAGGGGAAAGGGGTCACAGGAAGTCGAAATACAAGCTGTGACATAACTCCCTGAAATGGAATATAAATAAAGTGCCCTAAACACAGGGGGAAAATATATGTACAGCCTGGCTGGCGTAGCTCAGTGGATTGAGCACGGGCTGCAAACCAAAGTGTTGCAGGTTTGATTCCCAGTCAGGGTACATGCCTAGGTTGCAGGCCATGACCCCCAGCAACTGCACATTGATGTTTCTCTCGCTCTTTCTCCCTCCCTTCCTTCTCTAAAAATAAATAAACAAAATCTTAAAAAAAAAAAAAAAAAAGAAAAGGATTTACTGTTTAAAAAAAATGTTTATGTACAGATTAGTCTTCCCAAAAAGCCAGATTATTTACTGCATATGTTGTTTTTGGTTGGAGTGTGGGTGTTTTTTTCTGGTACAGACAGTCAAAAGTTATAGATGGCAGTAAAAAAAAAGAAATGATAAAATTATCAAACAGGAGTTGCATCTTAAAAATGTGATTAAAAGGCTCTCAACCCTCTAAGTTTACAGTTCACAGAAAATTTACCATGAAACAAAATTAGATCAGCATTTTCCCCATGTTGTTCTTCCCTCTGATCTAAAAGCAATCCTTTTCTATATGCATAAGATATGATAGGACAGGACAGGATAATCATCCCCCCCTCATCTCCCTAGAACATTACATTAGTGATTATTGCTTCGTACTCATCCACATCTCACATTCAATTGAACATCCATCCATTCATTCATAGTTTATTCATTTTTTAAAATCCTCCTTCTGCCTACCATCTCAACCTCCCATCTCCCCGCTCCAGGTACCACTCTTCTTTCAAAGTCAGCCTTATTCAGAGAGTTGTCTAAACACCCTGCCTCTATTTCCTTACCTCTCCTCCCTCTCCAACCCATTCCCATGTGATTATCTGCTTCTGTAAAACCAATAGAACACTTTTTACCAGGATCACTAAAGACCCCCATATCTCTAAACCCAACAGACACAATTTGGCCTTCATATTACTTAATGTCTAAGCAGCATTCTATGCCTAACCACTACCTTTCCTCCTTAAACTAATGTCTTTGGCTCCCAGGTCTCTGATTCTTGCTGCTCCTTCTCTGCCTACTTTGCAAGCTTAATTTCTTCTACCAAATCTCAGCAGTTAGTCCTAGGGCTAAGTCCTTTACTCACCCACCCAAGTGACCTCTTATACACCTACAGTTTCCAACACCATTCTTCTATTAACAATTTTTGTTGCTCCATCTTCAGACCTTCTCTGAGCTCTAAACCAATCCACCCAAATAGCCACCTAACATCTCCATTTAGATTTCACAAGGGCACCAAATCTCTTCATGTCCAAAACCAAATCAGTCATCTGACCACTTCTCTAGTTTCTCTACCTCAGTAAATAGCACCACTACTATCTCAACTGCTCTTGGCAAAAACCTAAGGGTTACCTTTAATAACGCCTGCTCCTGTAATCACTGCATCCCATCATTCACTAATTCCTAGCAATCCTACCTCCTTAAATTTCTAGCCTGTCCACTATTTTTCATCTTCATAGTCAGCCACTCTAAACACAACCCTCCCCCATTTATTCTTCAATGGAATGATTGACATCATTTACTGTCTCTCTGTATTCAATCCTGCTCCTACCAACCAGCCTATTTTCCATACAGCAGACAGAATAATATTGTCACAAGGCAAATATGAGCGGCCCTCATGTTTTTATGAAAAAGCATTTTTTTAAAATTACACATATGTATAAAGTATTTTTAATGTCCTCTAAAGGTTGAAATGAGAGGGATGACCAAGAAGAAAGTAAATAAAGGCAGCTTGAGCTTTATCTGATGATTTTTTACTTTCCTTTAGAAAGAATTATATGCAATAATATTTAAAATCACCTGTTAATTCTGGACAATTAAAACACACCATTTGTTTTAACAATCCATGCACTCGTTAAGAAATTAAGATGCGGATAGGCGTAAGAG